CTTTTCAGTGTGGGCTTATCAGTTTCTAAGCCTTATCATTTCTCTCCAGTAGTGACAGATGAAAGCCATGAATCTTCAGTGGGAATTTTCTGCCTTTTTTGTACCATTCAGAGATAATTTATGTAAGTAGAAGATATAATGAGGATTCTAAATTAAGTGTGTCTATGTGTATATAAATAAAACTGGTTTGTTACCCATTTGCCAGCATTTTGGCTCAGCTGCAGCAGTGAATATCATAACCGCTTTAAAATTGATTAGACAATTTAACTTGAAATTTAACTCTGGATATGGCAGAGAGAGATAAGCCTGTGAACAGGAGCATAAAACATTATTGCAGTTCTCCAGCTGATCTCAGTAAAGCTGGTGTGTTGTTTTTATTCTTTGGCTTTGATGAAATTTAAAGTCTTATGCTTTCTGTGTGACCTATGCACACATGAGTGGTCTTTGATTTCTTGTATGGGTCAAGAGTCACTGGGCCCTTTCACTCATTGTAGAAGTTAACCTTTTTTTTGGTAAAACAGAGGTGTTTCTGCAGCACACAGGGATGACATGCCTAGTGTTTTTTGGCAGGGGAGACAAGGTTTGTTTGATTACTAACACCTCTATAAGTTTCTGCCCCAAAGAGACCTGAAAGCAGTGCTTCTATCCAGTCCCGCAGTGGCTTCCAGTGTTGAAGCAACATGAATGTGCAAAATGAAGTACCCATAAGTAATTGGAAGCTGATCTATTTTAATTTGATATGAAGCTCTTCAGAGCAACATTTCATATGCTACTTTAATTTTTTATTTTTTCTGTATTGTGATGCTTCATCAAAAAAAGATCAGTTTAACCTCAGTGAAGCAGCAAAGCGACAAACATGAAAGCCCATTCTAAGGCCTTCTTCACCCGTTTTCACATCCATAACAGTAATTCCTTTCAGCTGGAGTTTTGGAATGCTTTAGGGCAGCTGTATGCTCGTTTTGAGTAAATTCAGCGGTTATTCCTGCTTTTAGTAGACATCCTATCTCCTGATGTTGATCTATTCTTTAAATTGACCCTGGTATGAAGAACGAGTAGTTTGAAGTGGACATGCTTTCCAGTATGAAAACAAATTCAAAATGTTCACCAAAGTACAAATGGAAAAAAGGCAAGGTACAAATGTGTTACCTTTTTAGTCAATTGTATCTGTCAGTGTTTGGTTTCCATTACACTTATATTTCACTTACCACACACGTGAAGTCTCCGCTTTTAACTAGCGGGCAGGCTGCTAAGCAGCCCATTGTACCAGCCAACATTTTTAAGTGGTTTGGTTGACAGTATTACCAGACTCTGGATGATCCTCCACTTTAAAAGCAGATAGTAGTATTTTCTCAAACACCTGACTTCCATGTTTAGTTCAAAGTTACCCTTCTCCTATTGAAAATTCTGACCATTCTTAATATTTTGTGTTATAAGTATGTAACTGTCTATTATGGTAGTTGTAACACTTTTATAATATTCATAAACTCTAATGGAAATATTCCATGTGATGTAGTTGTTTTAAGTGATGTACATGTATTACCAGACTGGACAGGATATTCTGACTCTCCTTGTGTGCTATCCTGTCATCTTCATTTTGTTCTAGTTAATTATGATGCAGTGATGTCAAGCACTATACTTAACATTTTAATGTCATATTCCAGTATGTCTCAGGACAGAATGCTGTTCCTAACATTGAAAAGCACTAGTTTTTGCAGGATCCAGATTCTGAGTTAGCGCTTATGCTTTACAAGAGAATGCTGCTTCAAAATTTCTTGGTAGTCTGAATGCTAGTGTGTCTGCTGTGTGGGCAAAGCTGGTCTAAATACCTGCGTGTTTGTTTCCTAGGATCGGTTAAGTCTAAGAGAGCAAGAGTGTGTTTTTCATGCTCTGTCCTTTTCTTCCTGGTTCCCATGCAATAGTACACCAATTTCTATTAAAAAGTCACCATTTAGCAATATTCACTGAGTCATCATCCTCCGTATTAATACTGTGTTTCATTACCAGGTTCCTATTACTGTCTGTCAACTCAATGGATTTTGGCATTCAGGGCTACACAAATCACAAAATTGTATCAAAATACAAGTATGCATTACGAATATCACCGATACTTCGTATTCCCAATAGAAGTGAAACTGGAGTGTTGCTTGTTGGTGATGATTGTGAGGCATTTTACTTTCTTATTCCATAGTCTGTTCATTTTCTCTTTGCATTTCAAAATCTGTAAAATGATTTTTTTTTTCCACTTTCAATGAGCCTTAAAGGTTTCAGAAAAGTGTTTAATTTGGATTTTGTTTAATCACACAAAAAAGGATAGCTTAGCACTTAGTAATGCAAGTGGTTTCTTTTTCTAACATTAAAAATGTTGCTAAAAATTACCTAGAGATTTTCTTCTAGACATTTACTTAAACTATTTATTCACTTCTTAAGCAAATAAAATGAAAGGATCAGTAGCACAGACATCTAAAGATGTATACGAGACATTATTTCTAAGAATCGTACAGAAAACAGTGCCCATTTACACAAGCATTTTTGCTCTTTGACTGTCATTCGTGTGCTCTAAGATCTTTTTTAATCCCTGTTACTTTTTGTCAGTGATCATTACTGCTTTGTACATCTCTTCTGAAGTTTGAACTACTGAAGCTGTTTCAGTAGCTTGAACTACTGTTTGTCTGTTTGTAACATGGCTAGGGACCACAGTTATGGAGTATAGAAGCTTACTTTTGAAGCAAAGAAGTTGCACGTCAACGTACTGTGGATATATATGGCTTGGATTTCGTGACTGCATGTCTGCTCAGGTCTTTATTCAGGTATTCAGTGTGCTGGGGTCCAAGTCCATACAGCTCTCCAGGAGGTCTGAGAACCTCAGCAGCATCACTCTATCTTCTGCTTAAACAAAGAGCCTCACTCCTGGAAGAGCGATTGTGTGTACCCTTTTCAGTGTACCTGGTAGAGCTTTCAGTAATTTTTCAAATGAAAGATGCCTACAAAAGAAGGGAATGCCATTTTCTCTCTGCTGGCTTTCTGAAATCTCATGTTGGGAAAAGCACTTAACCACCCATTTCATACGAACAGAAAGCTTTCTGTAATGACCAGTATTTCTGAGACTATTGCAGCCAGTGCAGTTGTGGAAAATGTCATTGTGGATGGCACAAATAGGATAGGATTTTGAGCAAGGCCATGCACCATCTGACTTTGATATTGGTTAAAAAGGAAAAAAAGGGCAATAGGATGTGTAAAGAATAGACAACTCGTTGGATGTAAATGCATAAAATGGAACAAAAATAGAAAAGAGTTATTATTCATTCTTGATGTCATCAGTAAAATTACTTTATTCAGAATACTATCTGGAAATCTATGGATTTTGTAGACTCTTTGATTGAATTTCACGTAGGCAGGTGGAGAATTTTGAACAATCAGGCACACCTTAATATTCCTGCATTGAGGTGTTGGTACAATTCTTCAACAACTATGTTGATAGGTTGAAATATCTGTAATAAGTCATATTTTTATTATTATTACTGACTAGACTCACCTTCTGTGTCCAGTTTTTTATCAGTTATGATGGAAGTATATACTATCTTTTTCTATAATTAGATGTGACTAAAAATAATGTGACTAAAATATAATGTGTTCCCTCATATCTCTGCATGGGCTTTTAATCTTCCTCATCTGGACAGAATTTGGGAGCTTTCCTCTCATTCTTACATAGACATTAGCCTTGTTTTTCTCTGTTGTTTCTTTCTATTCTTATCTATGTTTAATTTTTTTATGCCTGTTTCTTTACTCCTTATATAATCTTCTCTATTTTTTTCCTTTTTGCCCACTATTTTTCTTGTCTTTCTGCTTTTTTTGAATTGTTTGTTCACTTTTGACTTGTGTCTTATGCAGTGCAAGATCACCCAAAGTTTCTGTGTTTTAATGGTCACAGAATGATCTACTACAAAGTTGCCCTGGGAACTAATGGAAGGTCTAATCTTAGAACCATTGATGCTTTTTGGGGTCAGTGGTGATTTGTTCATCTAACATATATGCATTTAGAGAAATTAGAAAAAACTTCCCAAGAAAACTGCAGGGTCCCAGCTGGGCAAATAGAATAGAGAGAATAAGGACCAGAAAATGAATCATAGAATGGTTTGGGTTGGAAGGGACCTTAAAGATCGTTGAGTTCCAACCCCCTGCCATGGGTGGTTGCGGGGACCAGGTTGCTCCCACTAGACCAGGTTGCTCAAAGCCTCATCCAGCCTGGCCTTGAACACCTCCAGGGATGGGGCATCCACAGCTTCTTTGGGCAACCCATGCCAGTGTCTCATCACCCTCACAGGAAAAAAATTATTTCTAATATCTAGTGTAAATCTACCCTCTATCAGCTTAAAACCATTACCCTTGTCCTGTCACTGCACTCTCAGGTAAAAGTGCCTCCTCACCTCTCCTGTAGAAATTAGTGTGTATGTGCCTTTTACTGTGGCTCAACAAAGTGATCGCTGTTAATTGTTTCATTGTGAAGGAGACATGGTTTAATATATGTGTACACGTGTGTATATGTACCCCATCTATTAACTTTGAAGAGATTGGTTTTACTCTGTGCTTGAAAAATAATTTCAGGTTGAATATGATTTCTGTATTTACTTCACTGACAGGTATGCATAGGGCCATTATATTAACTGTGGACATTGCTGGCATCTTAACTAAGCACTGTAGCACCAGATAGCTTCACATGTTTCTTATTCTCAAACTGCAACTGCACACAGTTGTGATACTATCCAGTCTGTGCAGCCTGCTTACGCGTTACTGGTATTTATTCACATGAGGAATTTAATCCCTTTCCAATATTTGCCAGCACTGAAATTGAGACTTGCACAATTGTACCTCATGGATGCTTCTGAGTACCACCCATCAGACTGTGAAAGCACGTTCAGAGATGTGACTGTGATGGAACACAGAAAACAGATCTCTAATAGGCTTTTAACTGAATGAATTATGTTAATTTTTTTTGCAGGGAATAAATCACAAGATAGTGGGATTGCAGAGATGGAGGAACTTCCAGTCCCGCACAACATCAAAATAAGTAACATCACATGTGATTCCTTCAAGATTTCTTGGGAGATGGATGCTAAATCCAAGGACCGCATTACTCATTACTTCATCGATCTCAACAAGAAAGAAAACAAGAATTCCAACAAATTTAAACACAAGGTAATTTTAATTTAAAAATCAAGGTGGAAATACTTGATTTTAAATAGATGACTCTCAGTGTTTTATTAACCTTTCAAAGCCAGACCATGGGAAACAGGTATTGGACATCCAGCAAAGATGGGTTTTGATTAATCTGATTGACAATTTTTTTAGTTGTAATACCTTCTCCATCTCTAGCCTATGTGCATGTACACACATATGCATCTGTATAATAGAGAACTGAACATTACCTTTTCTATTTAATTTGAAACTAAAACAGTTTTGGAACTTGTACAATTTATTGCAAGGCAGAAATTTTTATTCCTGACTAGTTCTTAATGATTATTTAAACAATTTATGTATTCTGTGCCTGCCCTTGTTCAGTGACAGACTCATGAGAGCAACACATGTAATTTCAACAGAAGAGTCACAAATTCTAATGCACTTCTAGGAAGGCTTCCAGCAATTTTAGTTCACAGCATTCAGCACTGTGACCTCAATATTCATCTGGCCTCTTTCCTCAAGCCACTGATGCAGGGACATATTGAATGTATTGCAGAATCTGTAGTTACCAAATCCAGCAAAATTTGCTTTGACCTCAGAATAGTTGAAATACTGAGAAGTCTAGAGAAACATGGAATTGAACAAAAAATTAAACAACACAATGATCTGCAAATTTTAAAACAATGTTGGCAATATCTCCAAAAGATAAGGTTTGCCAAGGCACAGATAACCATCTAGGCAAATATGAGACCTCTAATTCTACCAACATCTAAATTGCCATTGGTTATAAACTAGTGGGATAGGCAGGAAATATTTCCACCAATTTCTCTGAGTCTTTTTACTGTAAGAGTATTTTTCCTGTGACTGCTGTTAATAGCATGTGTATAATTTTCACATTTGCTTATTTGACTTTTTTTTTGTTTTTAATGTGGTCGGAAGTAACGTATTAATTAAGTGTAATGAAAAATCACTTACTACTGATTGAAATGGAGAATTTGATGTTGCTAGGAACCAGTGTGCAAAGCACTACTAAATTTAATGTTATAATAGCCATTTATTATGACCCGTTTTTAATTGTGGTAGCAAATGAAATAGGGTATGTTTGTTTTTTTCTTACTGTTACTACTTTTGGACTGGAAGCATTTGAATTGCCATTTTATAGCACAGGAATAAATAAACCTTCTAGTCTAAATGCTTACTTGGATGGGTTCTTTTTAATTTATCTCATTTTATTAATCTACATCGTTTCTATTCATGCGCAAACTGGTCTAAATTTGTAAAATTTGTTTCTGTAAAAGGTAGAGCTACCCTAGCAGATCAGACACTATATTCACTTCAAAATCTATTATCACAGTGATAAGACTAGGGTTAAAATGGAGAGAGGAGGACAAGGATATTGGTAGAGTAATAAAGATAAGCCGCTAGATTTATTTTGGTTTTTTCTCAGCAATTCCCTAGCTTTTTACTCTGATTGTTTAGTCAAAGGAGAGAGGTAATTGTTTTTATAACAACAGAAGACTAAAGTCTGTCAACTAAAATGATGAATAAGCTGGATGTCTTGTCAGAATTAACTTAAAATTTCTTGCTACAAATTGTGTTAGTGAAGTGAAGTGAAGATTTTTTTGGGGTTTTGGGGTGGTTTGTTTTGGTTTGGTTTGGTTTTTTTCCCCCCAGCTGGAATGATGGAAATCCAGACAGCAGATGATGGGTGAGAGCACTGCACAGACTGAACATTCTAACAACTAACCGTGACAATGTACATATGTGTTTGCTTTCATGCGTCTTTAGTACTAAGTAATCTTTAACACGATTTCTAGAATAAGCTTTTGTTAAGAAATTAAAAATTGCTCAAATTCAAAATTTGCCATAACCCTAGTATGGTTAGAGACAAGCATCCTTACTTAACTTACAGGTAGGGTGGATCACTGTCTGCAAGTGCCTGTCTCTCTCACAGGTGATAAGCACAAATGACCGGCTTAAACTGTTTTCTAACTTGTAGAGAGTGTCAAGTCTCAGTTTCCTCACATGGCTGTGAGCAAATGGCTTGGGATGTAGACTCAACCTGATAGAGAGATGCTGTACTTCAGCAACGGGGGCTGTTTGTTTCCTTGTGAACCTAGGAGAGCGTGCATGAATGCTTCATCCTTTCAGTACTTTTTCTGTTGGCAAATATATAAGATATATTCAGCATATTTAGGGTGCATATCATATAGTTTTATTATTTATGAGTGTTGCTATCATATCTGTGAAAGAGGAGATTTGTATTGGTAGGAGTATGTAAAGACTAGAATTCTAATAAGTGTCTTTTTCTCAATGCAATTTGCATACCTTCCCTCTTTTTTAAGATATGGAACTATGATTATTCCCTTGTAATTGGAAATGAGGCTCAGCTGTTTAGCAAAACCAGGACTAGAACCTGGGTGTGCTAAGTTCCTACAGTGTGTCCTACAAGCAGACCTGGCAAAGGGAAGGATAACATGAAATGGGAGAAAGCTGAAAATTGAAAGCTGCTTCTTTGGCAATGAAAAGAGACTGCAAAATAGACAGCTCTTCCCAAAAATGAAAGAGGTAGTGTGACTTGTATACCTTGCTGCTTAGTTATTCAGTGCTTCCAGGTTGTCCTTGGAAATTATGGCTGTCTAGGTACCTTTAGAGTGGTCTGGTGGGTGCTGGTGGTGGAGCGGCCATCTGCCACTCCAGAATCCCGACTGGCATATAACCTCCTTTGCACTTCTTTGGGGGCTCAGCTAGAAATGAGAGCTGAGCAGAAAAGAGATGACATGAGGAAATGGAGAACCCTCAGAGAAATTTTAATGTGAACATTTGAACATTTTATCCTGAGGTCAGTATAGCAAGCAAAAAAAAATTTTTTTCAAATGTTTGCTTAGAAAAAAGAACAGTTTAGATTTATGAAAAGCATCGTATCTGCTCCTCCTCCCAGGCTGCGCAAGAGATAAAACCCTCTGTTTAATATGTTTTTAGGTAGTCTGCCCTTTTTTGTACAGTTAGAAGAGTCTCCTGATACACATCTAGAAGGTGAGGCTTTGACAAATGGGAGCAATGAGGCTTTTGATGTTCCATGAAAACTGACAACGTTAATGGGGGCAAAAACCACCACTGGGTTCTGGGCACAGAGACATGACCCATATGGAGGCAGTTTTACCATAGACAAAGAAAAGATGACAGGAAGAGTAATGATTGTAACTGTAGCAGCTGCTGACTGCTTCAGCATTAGCGAGTTCAACCCAGTGGGATGCCTTTGCAATATAGTTCCAGGGTGGCAGCTTTAAATGTCATTTGAGGTTTCTTTTCTTTTTCCTTGTAATTTTTCTCTATCTTTTATATATTATTTATTTCAGAGTGCACAGCTGAGTCCTGTACAGAGCAAGTTTTCTCCCAGCTGTTATTTGATTTAAATGTGAATTAGCAAAAAGAAATCATTAGAACAAAATCTTACCCTTGATTATCAGTCAATCACATTTCAGTTCTTGTAATATCACAACCTGCTAATTTACAGTTTCTCAATACAGAAACCAAATAATATTTTTTGCTGACAGAAAAACAATAAAATAAAGATATTTTTTCCATAACAGAAGGTCTTGCTTACAGATCAGGAACAGAAAATGTCTCTTTTCTATTTATTTTTTGCTTAAGGGACTACTGTGCTAATATTTATAGGTGGGTGACTACAGACTAGGATTTATATGTGGACAGCTGTGGATGTTCTCTAAAATGCCCACTTTTCACATGCCAGCCATCTTACTATTCTATGCTTACTGATAAATATTCAGAAGTAAATACCTCCTTCACTGTACCACAGCTCCTTAAGTACACTGTGCAGAGAATTGCTCGGCTCCACCATGAGTCCTTTCCCCCACAGTTCTGGCACAAACTATCCAGTTCTTCATGTTTTTCTTCCCTTTGGTGGTCCGTGTGGCATTCATTAGTGCTGTAGAAATGAGGTATTTCAACATAGGTATTTCTTCTTTGTTGCACTATTGTGTGATACACAGGAAAAGCAAAACAGAGTATCTGAAATGGCGGTGGGCTGGGGAGCATGAGGTGCAATGATAAGCACAAACCATCTAGATGTGTGTTTGGCTTGTTCTGGCCCTTCCTGTACGTAAGGGTGTTTTGCTACATGTAAAAACCACAGAGTTACTCTGCAGTATGTTTAATTTTCTCTGTTGAGGTTTGTTTTGGAAGATATCAACAGCAATATAGGTGGACTGGTTGGCAGCAGGAGGAATTCTGGTTACACTGACAGAGAAAACAATGGTAACGAGAGCACAAGAAGCTCTTAAATTAAGATATCCTTGTGCTTTGTAGTGTGTTTTTCTCTTTTTGCATACTTAAGCACAAATGGTCTGAAATATGTATTTGGGTTATATATTCTAGTGTCAGTCTTCAGTCACCTGGAACCAATAATAAACTCATAAATGCAAGTTATCACCATAGCTCTTAGAGCAGACCTTAGGCCATTGTCCTCAGCCACTCTGTCGACTCTGCTGCATCAGTGGACTGTGAGAAGGAGCTAAGGTTTACACAGAAGAGCCAGGGTTTGGGGATTACATTGCAAAAAGAACAACGGAAGGGGTGGTGGGTTGTTTTGGTTGCACTGCTGAGTTGTGTGTTGTCTTTTTGTTTCCATCAGGATGTGCCCACTAAATTGGTGGCCAAAGCTGTTCCTTTGCCTATGACAGTCCGCGGACACTGGTTCTTGAGCCCAAGAACAGAATACACGGTAGCAGTGCAGACAGCATCAAAGCAAGTTGATGGCGACTATGTTGTTTCTGAGTGGAGTGAAATCATTGAGTTTTGCACAGCAGGTAATATTGCTGAGGAAACATGCATCACAGGACGTGTGCAATGAATGCTAGCTTTGCTGAATGAGTGGGTTAGCCATCTATCAGAGTTATAGTAGTCACACCTGGAAGCTGCAATTCTACCTTTAGGCTTTGTATATGTTCGGGTTTAGTGCACTAATGAGAGGTAGCTGGAGTGCCCCTATTTCCGCAATAGCTGCCCCAAAGTGCTGTGCCTGGCACCATTGCCTGTCCCAGGCTAGGACAGGAGACTGGTGAATCAAAGTGGAGCAGGGCCACTTGTGTGCCCATTGGTGGCTACTAGCACCTGTGGAGAACAAACAGAATGGCTGCTCCCTAACAGACAGCCTGCTCAAGACATTCTGCTGCTCTCCCTTCTCTGCATCCTGCAGTACCTGAGCATCCCAACACCCTGTCTTGAGGATCAGTTTAGGCTGTCATTGACTTCTAATTCTCTTCCTTTGGATGTTGGCTGGGTCCTAAGCAAGATTTTTAGTTATATGTATTGTTATTGGCTCACAACAGGGTATGTTGTACGAAACAGTTTATCAAATTAATTACATAAGTCAGAGAGGGCAGTTCTCAGCTCCACTGCAGTCCCAAATACAAGGAACCCAGCTCTAACACAGGAAATCCTGAGCTGGAAGTTGTTGTAGGCTTGTAGAGTATTCATGGGGAAAGGACTGGGGAGAATCACACATGCATGCTCCTGCCGTTTTTCTGTTGCCACTGTTGGAAACTGGTGCTGGGCTACCTAGTTTCTGTATAGCTGCTGTATGCCCTGAGGTATGTTACCGAGCTTCTGTTCCCAATTTTAAGTCTGTGCGACCGTGTAGCTTTTGGAGAGTATTGTGTTTTTTCCTGCCCCCCCCCCATACTAGCAGATTGTCTTTTCTTTCTAGATTATTCAAAAGTTCATCTAACACAGCTATTGGAAAAAGCTGAAGTGATTGCAGGCCGTATGCTTAAGCTGTCTGTTTTTTATCGGAATCAGCACAAAGAATACTTTGATTATACCAGGTAAGAAAGTAAACACATGCAAAATTGTTTGGCAAGTTTGGGAAGTAATGAAAACAAGTAAATGGAGGCAGCTGTGCCAAAGTTAGAGTAGAATGTCCATATGCTATATTGCCAGTTTGAAAGAAGGAAAAATTAAAAATAAAACTAATTTCTTCCACCTTGCTTAATTCAGTGCTTCCATTAGGCAATAAAAGTTCATGTGTTGAAGCAGAAACTGAAGGGTCTCCAGCCTGATTGAAGTGTCTGTTATCACAACAGAGTGTTTGGTAGCCAAATACTTCTGTTGTAGAGTGAGATGCCTAATAGTAGGAGTACACAACTGTGTGCAGGGGCATTTGCCTGCATAATAAGGGTTCCACTTAAAATATTCACTATCAGCATACAACCACCCCATTTCTATGCCCAAATGTAGTGATTGGGGCTCTGCAATCCGAGTGTTAATTTGCAAATCATGTGGGGAGGGAGAAGGGGATGATGTTTAAACAATTTTACAACAGTGTGCTTCAGCTGGAACAAATAAATGGGATAGCTGGAGGTAGGTTCCTTACTCCTGTTGGAGACCCAGTGTGCCTTTGCACACACACAACTGGAAGCACCATTATGGTAGAGAAGAAGACATTTCAGTAGAAGGAATCAAAGCTCGTGTAGTGACTGAGCAGGAGCAGCCACCATGCAGAGGTAACCTGCCACCATTAGAAGAACATGTATGAGAAGTAAGCAGTGTGTTGACATGTTTCAGCACTGTGTCAGAAGGCTGTCAGCACTGACTATGCTTCTTTAATATGTACTGAGAGATGGGGCTGCTGCTGTGCCATGTAATTCCAGTTTTGTGTGGGTCTCACACTAGTACCTGTCTAGAACTAGAAGTTTTTAAAACTGGTAAAGAAAAAAAAAATACTTAAGGGAATCCAACTCCAAAGAGCAGACCCCACTACTGTTGGAAACATTCCCACTTTGTAGTCATGAGTATCTGCTCAATTCCAGGAGGGTCTTGTATATTCCAGTGCATGGGGTTTGCTTTTTGTTTTGGAAGAATTAGGTTACTGCACATAGTGACAAAGCTGCAGAACTCAATGGTGGCAGAGAATGAATTGCAGTTGTCAAGGCTCTTTGGGGACCTTGCAAATCTCTGCTGCCATCCTGGACTAGATACCACAGAAGGAATATGCCTGTAATGGTGCTGATTCTCATATAGCTTTGTTTTCAGCTATGTAATCATAGTGCACCTGCTGTTATGTTCATAAAACTTTGAAAAATTGCCACTGAGGGTGCATTTATAGCGTGTATCTTCTCCCCTCCCTCCTGCTATGTTATTTCTTTGGTACAAATAGAGACTAGTTTGTTCTCCCTTCTGTTAGTGAGTTAAAGGGACAAAAAGCTGTTTTGCCAGGTCAGTATGAAGCTAGAATACCTATAACTGTCTGATGGTCACCTTTTTGGACCAGAAATGTACTAATGTTGTCACAAGAGCTAGTCCTTCCACAATACATCCTTCTGAATGTTAAAAACCCTGACCACATGCTTCCTTTTTAGGAAAAATTCCTTGTCACAGCATGCCAGCCAATGGCCTCTGTTGTGTCATAACCAGTAAACAAGGTTGGAGGAGCTTGTAGAGTAGCTCTAGTAGCATTGGGAAACAAGCAACTGTGACAGTGCTAAAGCAGCAAGCCCTAAATGGAGGGTTTGAAGTGTGAGCTTTTAAATAGCATTCATGTCCCTGCTGCTTACCTCTGCTGGGAGCGCAGTAAAGCAGCTCACATCCCTGGGAAGAGTGACCTATAATTAGCCTAATTGGCCACTGGATGTCAGTATCTTGCCGCAGAAATAGAACTGCAAGATGCCTGCCTTTTAAGGTTGCAGAGACAGTGGTTATTCAAACTGATTTTTTTTTTTCTTCCCAGTAATCGTTTCAGTCAGAATATACCAGTTACATCCCCTCACCCCAATCAATGTCTTGTGAAATAGGGCTTAAGACAATAACAATGTAGTATTTGAATGGCCCAGAAAACTTTTTAAATTTATTTCAGAGTCAAATTAAGATTTACTGCAGAGGAAATTAGAAATAATGAAAAAAATAATCACAGTTGGAGACATTACTGAGTTATTTAGAGCTGTTTTGTATGCATACACTGAATTTGTTTGCTTTGAGTGCTACCTTCTGCTTTAACCAAGTAAAATCTTCTAACACACAGCACCATTCTACCTGGAGCTGTTGCAAGCTAAAAGCAGAGAGAGAACAGTCTGTCTTGGCTACTATCCCATTGCCTCAAAACAAGAAAAAGAAAAAAAGAAAAAAAAAAGGAAAAAAGAAAAAAGAGTAGAAGCAAAGCAAGAGGGGCATCTTAAGACTCCAGCCCCACAGCCTCATGCATTTTCTAATCTCTCAGTGTGTATAAAGGCATTTTCCAAGGATGCCTAGTAAACCTGATGTTTTTGCAGGAGTTATTTACAAAAGGGAATGTTTCCCTTTCTGGTATCATGTGATTGCAGGTGCAGAGAGAACCAAAGCTGTCACTGCAGCACTTCCAGAGAGGTGTGGGGAACAACCTGCTGTACATAAAATCACAGGTGTTAAGGAAGATTAGATGGGGTGGTTTGGACTGTTCTTCTAAATTTAGGTGCTTAATGCTGCTGAGTGCAATTTGGGATTTACAGTTTTAAAAATTCACTTGTTATATTGAATGTTTCTTTTCACTGGAACCAAACTGAGCTCATCTGGCAAAAAAAAAAAAAAAAAAAAAAAAAGTTAGTCTTGTACATTTTTCCCCCTTAGGACCAGCGACTGCAGAAGCTGGATACCAACCAAAGTGGAAGCTAACCAAATTATCTAATACTTTGTGCCCAGCTCTGCTTTCACTGAAGTCAGCAGTAGACAAATTAGACCTGAAATTATCATCTGGGGGAAAAAAACTATGGCAGACAGTACATTCCTTCCTATATGCTCTCTGAAAAAAGCATTGTTCAAAAAAAATTTTCACTGGCAGTTTTCTGTGTGAAATATATACTGTCTGTGCTAAAAATATGCATTAACAAACTGTATATTTAGCATATTGTGACTGACTTGCAATTTTCAACATGTGATTAAACTAAACTGGTTATTGTTAGAGTTGTAGTGGCAGGCTGAACAAATCAGCTAATTAAAGATATTGGTGGTTTGGGGGCTTTTTTTTTTGGTGCTATTCTTTGCCTGCATATAATACCCACACAGCTCACAGCTGACAGAGAAGCCAGACTGGAAAGCAGGTTTTTCCCTTGAGCAGGAGTTATTCTTGCTCTGAGCCTGGTGTCACTTGATTTTCTTGGTCCTAAGATCATGACCCTACCAACAGTTTTCAGTTTAAGTTTTCCTTCGTGTCCCTTCAGTCCTGTTACCAAGCAGCATGACAACCTAACTTTCCACTTTTTCTTTAACATGTGTTACAAGATAAACAATACCAGTCATTCATTTGTAGAGAGCATCATGGGAATGCTATGCAGCCATCTGTTAAGGATAACAGTGGCAGCCATGGCTCTCCGATCAGTGGGAAGCTGGAAGGCATCTTCTTTAGCTGCAACACTGAGTTTAACACCGGGAAGCCACCACAAGATTCACCTTATGGAAGATACAGGTTTGAGATTGCAGCTGAAAAACTCTTCAACCCAAATACTAACTTGTACTTTGGAGACTTCTACTGCATGTACACAGCCTACCACTACGTCATTCTCGTCATCGCCCCTGTGGGATCACCAGGAGACGAGTTCTGTAAGCAGCGCCTTCCTCAGCTAAACATAAAAGATAACAAATTTCTGACCTGCGATGAAGAAGACGGTGTCATGGTTTACCATCATGCCCAGGATGTTATTTTGGAAGTAATTTACACTGATCCTGTGGATCTCTCCCTCGGCACAGTTGCAGAAATCACTGGTCACCAACTAATGAGCTTATCTACTGCAAATGCAAAGAAAGATCCCAGCTGCAAGACCTGCAATATCAGTGTTGGACGTTAAAACTTCCCTCGTTACTTAGGAGCCTTCAAACCTCTGTTGCCCATTTCCATAGTCAGACATTTTTGTCAGAAGCATGCACATGCCGCTGTCACCAAAAGCAAACACGAGTCTTCAAAATCTCCAATAGAGTTTTTTAGAATTTCTTCTC